CCTGGTATATTCGTAAACGATATCGCCGGACATTAAGCAAGTTGTGATATGAAAATGTTTGCGAGATGATGCAAAATTTGGAAATCTATATGACAACAACGGACTGCATGCTACTGCAGCATGACCTAAATATGATGTGTAATGTCAAGAAATTGCGCCTATTAAAGTTTCACAGTGGAAAGGCTGCAAACGGATGCATTTAGGCAGGAAATAACGAACAGTTGAGCTACTCCAATGACCGATGAGGGCTGGGACAAGAAGACTGTCTTTCTTACTGTTAGATGCAGATCACTCAAAGAAAAGACCTTGGGATTGGAATAACAGCGACCTGAACACCACTCTACAGGCTACCAGAGCAGGAAAAAGCTGATGGGTACTGAGGATCTCATCAAGTAAAACTTCAGTACGTAGATAAAAGGTGCTCCTTATCCTGTTACAAGACGTTCATCAGACCCACTAGAGTGCTGTGTGCAAGCCTTCACTCCCCTACGATAAGAAAATACTGGACGCTGTTTAATAAATAATAAGTGCAAAGGGAGGTCAAACCAATCTAGGTCCACTTCTAAATATCTAACGGAATACGAGAGCGAGGACTTGGAAACTCCTAGTCATATTCACTGAACAAAGGAGATGAAGGGGAGACCTTGATCGAAACTTGCAAAATTTAATAGACAAAGAACAATATAAAATAGCAACCAATTTTTCACACTGGCAACTGGAACCACCAGGGTAGATCCCTTGAACTTCCAAATAGCATCCAGGCCTGCAATTGCCTAGTTTGTCGCCAACCTTCTTCAGCCCAAAGAGTGGTGAATGCGCGGAAACGCACTGCCAACATTTGTTGTCGACCAGGAGCCTAAGGAACGGCTCAAACTGCCCTTTAAAAGTGATTGATTCAATTCGCATAGCGTTCGGGCTAACTGCGACTCCATGCATCCAAGTGTATCATGGGAGCCTGCTATCAACGTTATGTTATCGAGTTTACGACCAGCCAATCGCAGTGCGCGTATCTCAAAAGCGTATATATCGGGTATATATAAAATGTGGAACCGAAACCGAGCCGAAAACGGAACGACGGTTCGAATATCCGAATGGTGGCGCAAAAACCGCGGTTAACCGTTACACCACTACTGAGCACCATTCCGAGTACAGTCCTCGAACGCTCACCCTCATCTGGCGCCCCACAAGAAAGCTTTCAATCCAGTTTATGAGTGTTCCTCTTATACCATACGCTTTCAATTTCTTCAATAGTCTCATGTGCGGAACCGTGTCAAATGCTTTTTGATAGTCTAAAAAGATGGTGTCGATGCAATTACCATTGTCAATGGCCTTACTCCAAGCCTCAAATGACTCTAGGAGATTAGTCAGACAGCTCCTCCTCGACGTAAATCCATGTTGGTGTTCTGTAAACAATTTGTTCTCATCTATGAATTTTACTACTTCATCATGCAATAGCGATTTTATGACCTTACAACACACACATGTTAGTGAAAGTGGTCTGTAGTTCTCAGCAGCCGTCCTACTCCCTTTTTTAAAGATGGGAGAAACCTGCGATTTTTTCCACGTTGTTGGTAGGGTCCCTTCCTGTAAGGATTTTTGGAATATTAATGTGAGTGGCAATGCAAGTCCATCAGCACATTCTTTTAGCAGTTTCGGGTGTATTCCATCAGGTCCTGGTGACTTGCCTGGCTTCAGTTCTCTCCGCTTCTTTTCCACTTGTGCAGCTGTAATATCAATACTGTCCAAGCTTGTACCAGGTTGCACTCCATCTACAAAATTCAGGATGTTACCCACTGGCTCCGTTACAAACACCGACTTGAAATAGTTGTTCAGTAATGATGCTGCTTCTTGGTCGTTGCCTGTTAACATACCTTCTCCTTTGGCTAATCGAGTTATTCCAACTTTGACCCTTTGTTTCTCGCGCACGTACCCATAAAACTTCTTGGGGTTGTAACCCTATCCTGTGTTTGGGTTACATTATTGTATCTAGTGTCTGTAGTAGTACTATCTTGTATCTTGTATCTTGGTACCCTCTCTTGTATTTCACAAGGCACTCGATTCTACGAGGTGCAGGGTTTGTCTAGAGAGAAAGAGATTTAAGCTGCCTCCAGATCTCTTAGTAGTACTACTAGTACTACTAGTACTAGTACAGTACTAGTAGTAGTACTGTAGTCTGTAGTGTACTGTGTAGTGTACCCGTAGTCATGTCTAGTGACTGGCACTGTCTGAGTCAGGGGCGGACTGGCCCCTCGGGCAAATCGGGCAAAGTCCGAGGGCCCAGAGGGCCAAAGGGCCGTGGGCCGTTGGACTCGAAAAAAATGTTTTTTTGGCAGTGGCTACGGGTACGGTAGCCGTATCTTAATGTCTCGAGGCTACGGGTACGGGAGTCCATTCACTTTCATACTTAACGAGACAAAGATGGCGGCGGTGGCGCTAGATTTCGAAATAACGCCTTGGGAAATAAATTCACGATTTGAGAGTTTAGATGAGCTAGAACCCTAACCCTAACCCTAAACCTAACCCAAAACAATATATTAAAATTTTTCAGTTTTCAGTTTTTCTTCTTCATCGGTTGGTCTGAAAAATATTGTGCCCCAAATCCGAGGACTTTTTCCAATCCATAGGGGGTGAGGGTTCCACCAAGATTTTCACCTTTCTGATCTTGCAGGCCTTTTGAGTTTCACAAAGTCCGGACCTCTGACCGCGGTCAGTGGACCCACTGGCAGCAAGATCAAGCCCGCGCGTACAGCACACACGCGGCGCCATTGACTATATATATACAACATGGTGTCGAACTCTAGACGGCAATAAAGCTGTGCACGGATAAAAAATTTTATATTCTGGTGGATTATTTTAGGGCCCAATAAGCTCGTCCGATAGACAAAACCTGTGAAGTGCTCAACATGCGCAAAGATGCACTGAACAAACTTTTACTATTTACGGCCGGTGGGAGCGACGTAAAGAAGAGTCAGAGAGAAAATACCCTAAGCTCGTCCGCTATTATTAACATCTTACGCTACATTACAAAATACTTGTCGATGGCCATATTTCTCTCTCTTAAATACACGTATATTTGTATTAAAACAGATCCGGAGGCGAACATATAAAACCGAACGGCGCGAGAGAGCGGCGTACAGCACAAAACGGCAAAACTGGCCAATACTTGAATTGAAACCGGGCACCGGGGACAACGTCACAGCGATGCTTTCTATTGCCGGTGAGAATTGCGTCGTCTCTTCCGGTGCGTTGGGGCAGTAGCTGCCAGAGAACAGGTTAGCCCGCCATAATATAGTGGGGCTTCATGGCTGGCCTAGCAAGCGTCTAGTTTTGTTTTCTCACAGTAATTTGTTTTAATGATCTCTGAAAATATCATTAGCTAATATATAATCAGCCATCATGTCAACAATAAATATCTTGTCTCTTGTTATATATTATTTGTCAATCCTTACACATCTTCAGCTGTCATGGCACAAACTAAACGCGAAAATGGCAAGCAGACCATGTTATTAGATGCTATGAGGAACGAATTGTAATTACAATTTGCTTGATCGTAAGCCAGAACAGACAACCGAATGCTATGACAGGATGGTAAGAAGGGAAGGAATTAGTTGTGTACGTTGGATTGCTCGCCAGAAGGGCTTTGGGAAAAAGCATACCTATTTAGCTTCTTGTCAGTGATGATGGAACAAGGGTATAAGCAACGTTTTCAATTCAACGATAGTCACGTGCGAATTTTGCCGGGAAATTTGAGGAATACGGGGTTTGAGTGCAAAAACCGAATAGGTAGTAATAACGCAAAACTGTTTACTATGAGACTCGTGTTTCATATCCTATTCACCTATGTTAGCTTAGTCAGTACTGTATATTGCAATATTGTATTTTATATATAATATAACTTTATTATTATTATTATGGTAAAAGGTGCGCCAAACCGTTTAACTAATGCTGTGTGTTGTTGCTTGATTCTGCATACTGTCTGTAAATTAATTGTAAATTTTATAGTTAAATGAATGATGACTGATACTGATCAGCTGAATCTAAGTTAATCAGGTTTATGGAATTAGTATATGTGTCAAATTATAAATGAAACTAAATTCTATAAGTGATTAACTGAGATTCAATTTTTGCAGTAAAAATATGACAAGAATGTTGTTTCTTTGTTACACACCTCAATATATTATTAAAGATATTTGTTTAGATATCTGGCAAGAAAGAAAACAGCTGATTGTATAAATCTCGCCAATTACGCGGTCTTTGATGCTGATCGAGCAGCAGCGAGTATAATGCTCGCATAACATCAAGTGCCTGCCTCATGCAGGTATTGAAATCAACTGACATAGAAGGTTACTTTGATACATTGCTGCATATGCATCTACTATTTGGGAAAGTTGCACGAAAGTATCATGGTTCACATGCTAAGAATTTCAGAAATGAATTTCAAATTACGACTTTTTAATT